GGTTTAGTCCACTTCTGTATCCTTCCCTTCAAAGCTCAGGGATCCAGGATTGTCTTCTGTGTCTGTGTTAATTGGTTCCCCTTGTCTTTGTTGAAGAGGGTCTGTGCAGTCTTTCTGCCTATTCCGCCATCTTACCAGAACTCTCTAGACAGTGTTTTTTGTAGGTTTTTATTTATTGTTGTTGCTAATGATTTCTAGATTCCTTTGTGTTCAGAGAACATACTCTGAATGGCATCATCCTTTTTGAAATGTGTTGAGGCTTTCTTGATGGCACAGTATGTGGTCAGTTTTAATAAATCTTACATACACCCTTAAAAACAATGTGAATTTTGTTGTTGCTGGATGCAGTGTTCTGTATCAGTTATTTAGGCCATGTTTGTTTATTGCATTGTTCAGATCCTACCGATTTTTTGTTAGTTTTTCTATTAACTACCGAGAGAGGTGTAATAAGATCTCCCACTTGGATATGGATTTGTCTGTTTCTCTTTAAATTTTGTTTTATGATTTTTAAGGTTATGCTATCGGGTATGTAAAAAATTATGATTATAGTATGTTCTTTTTGAATTGATACCTTAATCGTTCTCTGATACTCCTTTCTGTAGTGTTTTTTGCCTTAAATTCTACTCTCTCTAATATCAGCAAAGCACCTCGGTTTTCTTTTGGTTAATGTTGCATGCTATATTTTTTCCATCCTCCCCGTTCAGTTTTTCTGTGTCCTTATATTTAAAGCGTGTCTCTTTTAAGGAGCTTGTTTGTTGAACACTGTGTAGCAAACTTAGTTTGTTACTTACACTTAACACCAGTGGTGGCATAGCTTCCAGTAACACAGCAACACTCAAGCCACCACAGTACGAAAAAGTGACAGACAAATGTGATAACTTATTATGGTGTAATATAAATTGTTACTTTTACCAGTATCCAGAGGCTGCCAGGATCTTAGACCCTTTAAACCCAAAAGCATTTCAGTTATTGTTCTAGTCACTGTTAGTTTTTATTTGCTTAGATATTCATCCTTTCTGATGTTTATTTCTTCCTATATTTCCATGTTTCTGATCTAGGGCAGTTTTATTCTGCTAGAATAACTCTCTTTAGTTTAATTCTCTTTTAGTATAGGATTGCTTGTGACAAATTCCCTAGTATTTCCTAGTATGCAAATATCTTTATTTCACCTTAATTTTTGAAGGATATTTTTACTGGGTATTCTAGATTGCTGGTTATTTTCTTTTGACTATTTAACAATGCCATTCTGTTATATATTCTGGTTTTCATTGTTTCTGTTGAGAAATCTGCCTTATTATTCCTTTGAGGATCAAATGTATTTTTTGCTCTAGCTACTTGTTAAAATTTTCTTTTCCTTTCCTTTTCCCCCTCTCTCTTTTTCCTTTGTTTTCGTGGTTTGATTATGTTTTCCTAGCTGTAGTTTTCTTTGACTGTATCCTGATTGGAGTTAGAAGAGATTCTTAAACCTGTAGGTTTACTTTTTTTTTTTTTTTTTTTTTATCAGTTTAGAAAAACTCTGTTATTCCATTTTTGGATATTGCTTCTATGCCTTTCTTTTATCTTGTCTGGAATTCCAGCATGTCCCGCACTCCTCTTAAGACTCTCCACCTTCCTCCTGCCCCCTTTCCCTTTATCCCTATTTTTCTCTCTCTGCTTTCATTTTGTATATTTTTTATCAACATATCTTTCAGTTCAAAGGAATGATCTGGTGGTGCGGTGGTTAAAGCATTCGGCTACTAACCAAAATGTCAGTGGTTCAAATCCACCAGCCACTCTTTGGGAGAAAGATGAGGCAATTTACTTTTGTAATGATTTACTTGGGAGCTCTGATAGCATAGTGGCTAAGACACTTGCTTGCTAACCAGATGGCTGGTGGTTCAAATCCACCAGCCACTCCTCGGAAGGAAGGTTGGGTAATCCTACTTCCGTAGTGATACTGCCTTGGAAACCCAAGGAGGGGTCGCTATGAGTCGGGTTTGACTCGACGGCACATAACAACAACAACAACAACAACAATGATTTACTCTGGTAGCGTAGTGCCTAAGCACTTGATTGCTAACCAGAAGGCTGGCGGTTCAAACCCACCAGCCACTCCTTGGAAGGAAGATGGGGCAATCTACTTTCATAGTGATACTGCCTCGGAAACCCAAGGAGGGGTCACTATGAGTCAGGTCCAACTCGATGGCACATAACAACAACAACAACAATTTACTGCCTTGGAAACCCAATGGGAGAGTTCTCTGTTCTATAGAGCTGCTATTAGTCAGAATCAACTCTATGGCAGTAGGTTTGTGTTTGGGTCTTTTAGTTCACTAATTCTATGTTCTGATGTGTCCAGTTGCTATACAATCAATATATTGAGTTCTTAATTTCATATATTATAATTTTCATTTCTAAAATGTCTGTCATTATTTTTATAGATCCTGATTAATTATAAAATTATTCATCATTCAGTCATTTTGTCCATTTTCCCCAATGTTAAGTAATCCACTCAAAATTTTAGATAATTCATGACAAATTTGAAAGTAAAACTCAGACTTTTTGTCTCTAAATTTGTTTTAGAAATATTTTAGACCCTTACTATTTTTAAATGAGGTGAACTATATTATAAAACTATTCTTGCTCCTTTGTGTTACAGTTTTAGAATATTTCAGTATTTCATAGTTTTTCATTTTCATTTTTTATAGACTTGGAAAATATTTACATCTCAACAAATGAATTCCACACTGGAAATCTGCTGCATTCCTGTGCCACCTCCTCCTTTAGAAAATTGACCTTAAAACAGAGGTAAAGTCATAGATTTCAACTTTATTATTATTATTATTATTATTCCATTTTTTATTTTCATTGTCATTTGGGTGAAACTTTACAGAGCAAATTAATTTGCCATATAGTAGTTTATATATATTTCGTTTCATGGCATTGACTGCAGTTCCCCACAATGTAACAGCTCTCTTCCCACTTCCTCCCTGTAGTTACCTCTTCCCTGTGTCCTTCCTTCCTATATATTCCTGCACACACCCCCACCCGAGCTATCTCCCTGTGCAAACACTGCCCTTCTGTTCTCCCATGATTGATAGCTCTAAGGAGTGAATCTACCTGATATAAATGTCCACCCTGTATGCCTGTCTATTGTTTGAATGGAAGCCACAGGAGTGAGTTCAGTTCAGACCTGTAGGGTAACTTGGGGCCATAGTCTGGGGGCGTCTCACCAGGCTCTGTCAGACCAGCAAACTTGGTCTTTTTGTAATGATTTTGAGTTTTGTTCCACATTGACCTCCCACTCTATCCAAAATCTCCTGCACTGATCCTTTTCCAAGTGGTTGACAGTGTAGCCAGGCACCATCTAGTTCTTCTGGCCTCATGGTCATATAGGCTGAGGATTGCATGGTCTACTAGTCCCTTGAACTAATTTTTTCTGTGAATCTTTGGTTTTCTTCATTGTTCTTTGCTCTGGATGAGGAGAGACCTGTTGTTGCATCTAAATGGCTGCTGGCAAGCTTTTAAGATCCCAGTCACCAAAGTAGGATGTAGAACAATGTTTTTGTGTGGTATGTTATGCCACTTGAGCTTGATGTCTCCTACTACCATGGTCTGAGCCCACAGGTCCAACTACTCGATCCCTCAGGGTGGTTGTCAAGAAGTTACCATAATTTTGCTCCTTGTTAGCTCTATTACATATTTGGACATTCTTACAGCAATACAAATACTTAAACCCACCCAGAACTGCTGAGAGGACAGAAGATTTACATTTAAATGACAGACCTGCAGAGGAAAAAAAAAAGACTATTTCACCACTCTGAAAGGGATCACAATAGAAAGTCTGGATAGGATGGGAGAAAAACATGGAACCAAACTCAAAATTATAAAAAAGACCAGGCTTATTATGGTCTGATAGAGACTGTTGGAACCCCAAAACTATGGCCCTTAGTCACCCCTCAGGCCCAGAACTGAACTTATGCTCAACTTTCACCCAGACCACAGACAGGCCTACAAAGTGAGCAGTAACACCAGGGAGGTATACACTCCTTATAACAACCAACTCTACCAAATCAAAGGGGCAGCATTTGCCCAGGGGTAAAGCCCAGAAGGTAGGAAGGGATAGGAAAGAAGGACCAATGGAAACAGGAAACACAGGAAGGAAGTGGGAAAAGTACTGTTACATTGTGGGGACTGCGATCAGTGTCATGAAACAACATGTATATGGATCGTTGAATCAAAAACTAACTTGCCCTGTAAACTTTCACCCAAATCACAATAAAAAAGTGAAAAAAAAATCCTGTAAGATTCTGTGAATATAACTTCTGAAACATTACAAATACATGTGTAGAAATAAGACTTCAACTGTTTAAAGAATAATGAATCGTACTATGTAGTTAGACATGTTAGTTTCTGGTACTCTTGATGGGTTGCTTCTATTTGTTGAGCATTTTTACCTGTTGTTGTTGTTGTTGTTATGTGCCGTCGAGTCGGCCCCGACTCATAGTGACCCCTCCTTGGGTTTCCAAGGCAGTATCACTACGGAAGTAGGATTGCCCAACCTTCCTTCCAAGGAGTGGCTGGTGGGTTTGAACCGCCAGCCATCTGGTTAGCAGGCAAGTGTCTTAGCCATTATGCTACCAGAGCATTTTTACCTAGGAGACGTTAAATAATCACCTCTTAATTATTACGTTTGAATTTTTCTTTTGAAAGTATTTCCCTTTTAATATAGGCAGTCCCTGGGTTATGAACAAGTTCTGTTCCTACTTCTGCCTTTAAATCAAATTTGTACATAAGTTGGAACAGTTAGGTATGGTTCATTTCTAATGTCAGTTAGTCAGATGTTTGTCTTAGTATATAGTATATAGTGTCCCATCTGTGTATAAAAAAATTTGAACACTTCCAGATACACCAAAACATGTTTAATATAATAATATTTTGATGCACATCACAAAGTAGTGCCTGTTTGCTATTATGAACCATCCTATGTATCCCAGATTTTTAATATAATAGGCTTTACAAGGGTTAGTTCATAACTGCGGGTTGTGCTTAAGTCAGACATTTATAACCCAGAGACTGCTTGCAGTTGTGTATTATAAAATCCTTTTATTGCCTAAACTTTAAATTAATTTTAATTTAATTAATTTAAATTTAAATAGCCACATGTGGCTAGTGGCTGCACTGTTGTTCTAGTTTTTTTTTCTTTTAGTGTATTTGAAATTTATAATAATAATATGTCTTAAGTGCTTCAAGTTTCAGACTTATACTTTGAAATGCTTTCGTATTTGTTCATCTAGTTTGAAAATCTGCAGTAGCAATACTATTATTAGCTACTCATCTATTGCCCTGCTATTTCTATAGCTTTATTTATCAATAGATCTTTTTATCTACTTGATGTTTGACAACAAGAACCATAATTAGTCTTGCTCACTGCTGTATCTTCTGTATCCAACTGAGTATCTAGCAAATAATTGGTATTCAGTAAATTATATTAGTTGAATGAATGGATGAATAATCACTATACTTTCCCCTCACAGTAAAAATGCTTCCTTAATTGTCAAAAAAAATTAATTGTATTTATATAATGATAATAAGTAGCTAACTAACCTCTATTGAAGGAGCTTTAGTGGCACAGTTGCTAAGGTATTTGACTGCTAACCAAAAGGTCAGCAGTTCAAACCCACCAACTGCTCTGTGGGAGAAGGATGAGGCAGTCTGCTTCCATAAAGATTTACAGCCTTGGAAACCTTATGAGGCTGTTCTACTGTATCATATAGGGTTGCTATGAGTCAGAATCGACTCAGTGACAGTGGGTTTGGTTATCTTTGTAGCCTCTATTGAGGACTTACATTGTGCCAGTCACAGTTAAGTTTGTTAACTTATTTAATCTTTTAAAATAAACTTTTGACATAGCGCAATACAAATTAATCCCTTTTTATAAGTCAGGTATTTGAGGCCACAGATTGGTTAAGTAACTTTCCTAAGGACACATAGCTTATAGGGCATGGAGCTGGAATTCGAACTCAGGCAGTCTTGTACCAGAGCCCATACTCTTTAACCACTCAGCTGTACTACTACTTATATTCTGATTCTATATAAACGGAGAATTCCTAAAGAAGATGTGTGATAACTGTCAGTTAAGCCACAAATTATAAACATGTAGGCAATGGAGAGCTTATTGTTCTTGAAAAGGTACGCTGAGTTTGCTTCCTGTCAAGTAGTTATTGACCTTCTTCAGGTCGTATTCCAGCAGTTTATCATTCTCTTCACTATGTTGTAGACAAGGCTTGCTACTAAAGGTTGCCGTTACCATGATCACAAAATGATAATTATTTTCTGTGATACCTTGTTTACCTTGTTATATATACCCTGGAAGTATGGTCCTGAATTAAACTGCATGCCACATTATCAACTTGAGCTTTTGCCTTGAATATATTGTTTTACATAATAGATGATGGGATGGGTGAAGTGTTCCTCAGGTTTTTATACATATTTCTATAACCAGATGGCTTAATAAAAAGGAAGCTTGCAGTCTGTTTATAACTGCATTCTCTAGCTACCCTTGAGATACTAAAAAATACTGAACCTATTTAGGAAATGTTTACAAATTTTTCTATAACCAGTCTATTCTGTCTTTCAAATGAAAGTACTGACATATATAGGATTTTTGAGTTAGAAAGTAACTTACCATTTCATGCAGGAAACAGAAGCCCAGAGGGTTTAAGTGATTTGTCCAAGGTCATAAAAGCAGTGTGTTTCATTGAGTCAACGAATATACGTTAAGTATCTACATATTTCCAGATACTGTAGTAGGCTTATTAGCTTTAAGTACATAATGTTAAGCAAAACAAAGTAGACCTTGCCCTCATGAAACTAACAGTCTAATGGGGGATATAGACAATCAGTAAGTAATGTTGTTGTTGTTGTTGTTGTTGTTATTTGCCGTCGACTTGGCCCCGACTCATAGCAACCCCTCCTTGGGTTTCCGAGGCAGTATCACTACGGATATTTCCATGATATTTCCAGTCGCTTCATATGCATGTGAGAGCCGGACAATGAATAAGGAAGACCGATGAAGAGTTGATGCTTTTGAGTTGTGGTGCTGGCGGAGAATGCTGAAAGTACCGTGGACTGCTAAAAGAACTAACAGATCTGTCCTGGAGGAAGTGCAGCCAGAATGCTCCTTGGAAGCAAGAATGGCCAGACTTCGTCTCACCTATTTTGGTCATGTTGTAAGAAGGGACCATTCCCTGGAGAAGGATGTCATGCTTGGTAGGGTGGAGGGTCGGCGAAAGAGGGGGAGGCCTTCAACGAGATGGATTGATACGGTGGCAGCGATGATGGGCTCAAGTATAGCAGGGATTGTGGGGTTGGCGCGGGATCGGGCAGTGTTTCATTCTGCTGTGCATGGGGTCGCTATGAGTCGGAAACAACTCGACGGCACTTAACAACAACAACAACATCACTATGGAAGTAGGATTTCCCAACCTTCCTTCCGAGGAGTGACTGGTGGGTTTGAACAGCCAGCCTTCTGGTTAGCAGTCAATTGCCTTAGGCACTATGCTACCAGAGCTCCTTCAGTAAGTAGTAAGGTCTAATAAATAAATTATGGAATCCAAAGAAACTCTAGGAAGGGAAGAAACCATGTGTTAGTATGGAAAATACTGGGAAGAGAGGAAAGGACTATTGTTTAGATAAATGGTCAGCGAAGGCCTGCTGAAACTTACAGGATGGGAAGGAACCAACTATGCAAATGGCAGAAATCAGAAGGACAGCATCCTAGGCTGGGTGAAGGTGTGCATGAAAGTTTTAA